ATATATTAAGCGTTTAAATACTAATAATATCCAAACTAATTTTTCAGATTTCATTCTATTTTTGAGTTCCAAATTTACAAGTTAATAGCTGTGTTGGAATAATAGAAATTAATTTCCTAAATTCAGGACACTTGAAAGAGCTGTCGTCACTCTCTCTACACTTAATGCTATGTATAAAGCCTGCCGTCTCATTTTTCATACCATCGCCAAGCATGAGAAAAACAAACATGAAGAAAAGAACTATCTCTTTTAACAAAAATTTTACGAGGAATATTTTCGTTCCAGGTAAAGTTTTGGAAAATTGAAACTCAAATCCGGTTGTTAAGTATAGTTAAATGTAATTAAATAAAATCAAAATTTGGGTGAAGCAATGCTCATTGTATAGAAGATTAATGAGTAAAAATTAAATATTAAGTTATGAAAAGGAGTAATTAACAAATCTGATTACATGAAATGTTCTATTAATTTATTCAAAACCTAAAAGGAGTTGTACTTCAGTTATATTCATTTGATATTAAATTACGTTTTTCTTTCGTGTCCTACTTGATAAATAACTAAAACATACCTATTGGATTATACATAAATCCAATGCCAATGAAGATAAATATGATGCCGGCAACAAAACTGGATATTATTAGTAGCAAATTCATGTTTCAAAGAAAAAAGTAATTTCTTTTCACAACTTAACAAAAATAAAAGTGCGACTCTATCAACCATTCATCATTCCATTATTGTGTGTATTGTAGAGAAACTGTTACGGTCAAAGAACTGATTTTTCCCTTTCAAAATTTAATCTTATCTCGATTAGTTTTATGCTTTCACTGATAGATATAAATAAGAAAATAAAAAATGCATTTATCAGTTGTGGTTATTATTTATTAAGACTTCACTTTCTACGACTTCCTTATTAAAGGGTACAAAAAGAAAAAAAGGGACTTTTATTTCACTGAAATTACCGATTAAAATAAAAACTTCTAGTTTCTTTTTTTTTTTTAAATATACTTAACATGAAATAAGTGTTTTAAAAACTAGAAATTTTAGTTTCAAACTATTATTTAAAAAAATATTTTTAAATATTTACAGAAAAGGTGAAATTATTTGTGTTTAGACGAGTTAGAAAACTAGAATAACAAATATATAGTAAGGTTTCAATGACTAATAATTAAGGAAATCATCAGTTGAATTGTATCAATACTTACACGTTGATTCAGAGTTCAAGTCTATTCTGCGGGTTATCGATTTTATATTTTGTGGGTTGTCGATTTATATTCTGCTTTCCGGTTTCAATGATTCCGGTATTAACATAAATTATTCCCATTTACGGTGGTAGATAAATCCTAGTTTTTTTCTAGAGCCATCCGACTAACCACGGAATGTTTCACTAGATTAAAAACTTCACTCGCTCCAAAAAATATGCAAACTGAAATAAAAGTCGGTATGTTTCAAGCGCTCAAAAATAGGCACCCATCTTAAAGATTTGTCAGACGTGAATGAGAAAAAACAAAAACATTTGAAATATAAAACGTAAAGTTTCCTACGAAAAAGGAAAAAATAAAGATGAGAAACAAAACTGGAAAAACCACAGTGGCCGAGAGGGACAAATCAGGGTAAAATATCTTTCCACGAGAGATGCATTGCATAAAATGCATTTCTAATGAGAAGTAGAGAGAACAAGGGAACCAGAATGCATGTGAATAGAATAAGATTCCAGGGTATCAAGATGAGTTGATGTGACTGGCGAGGAAATAATTTTGTTACTGTCAAAATTAAATTTATGCTCAAGAATCTAACAATGTGCAGCAATCGATGATGTTCCGAAATCTGGTTAACGAGCATATCTATCGTGTTCCTTCAATCTAAATTTTAAAGGGTGTTGAATGTTTTCTTTCGTCTCCATGCCACTTAAATACGACAAGCGAGTATTATCACTGAAAAATGAACCTGCAACCCGCAAAGGCTGTTCAGGTATATATTATATTCTTCTCAAAAATTCAAGGAAACCAAATTAACGCTTAAAAGTGCTGCACATTCGATGTTTGGAATTGCTCTTAAAAATAATAAAATGAAATTGTTTGGCACTGAGTTGAATGAGATAAGCATATGAATCGAACTATATCGTATTTGTTGTTTTCGTATATCCTTTTGATCGAGTGATAGTACCTCATTAATTTATATTACAAGAAAAACCGCAGTGTGACAGGTGACACGATAAAAAATTTATAGATTTCATCTAAAGTTCAATAAATAAAACCAGTCAGTTATTATTCATGCAAAATAATAAAAACCAGTTTGGAACAGATGACCACGATGAAAATTTATAGACTTCATTTAAAGTTCAATAAATTCAATGCAGTCATTTACTATTAATACAAAATGATAAAAATCACTATGAAATAGATAACTACGATGAAAATTTATAGATTTCATCTAAACTTTATTTAGAACAATGCAGCCATTTATTATTCATGTAAAATAACAAGAGATTTTCAGGACATCGAAATCTCCCCCATATGAAGGAATTTGAATATATATTTAAAAGTCTACATCAAATGTCTAGTATAAAAGTATTACACGACAAAGAATTTGTAAAATTTTCTATTCATTTTAATTTTCACAAGAAAATATGCTTGTCTACAAACTTTTATTTGTTTTAATTTAAACCAGATAAGAATATTTTACATAAAATCATATAAATTCTTGTCAAAATTGATAATGTTAACTAGAACTATAATACAGAGATTTTAAGCCTTCAAAAAGGTTTTAACACTTTCATTTAAAAACTAAAAGACAATTGAATACTCAATAAACATTATTATCAAAGAAAAAGTAAGTACATTATTTATTTATGAGGTCATTGAACTAATTTCTTTAAATTCAACAAACTAGCATAAAAATTTGATAAAAATGACATCATAAAAATAATTTTTTTTTACAAAAATAAAAACTGACTTGTTAAAAAATTAGTACAAACATGTCATAGAGTGATACAAAAGGAGTAACAGATAATTCAGGCACAAAATTTTACTTTGTAGAATTTCCAAGAATTTTCCTTAAAACCACGAAAAAACCTTGAGACAGAGAATTTCCACAATTTTTTCTTCAAAGAAATTTACACTATAAAAATTTGTTTTAATAAAGAAAAATAAAGAAAAAGATGAAAAACATAATTTAATAAATCATAATAAATAAGAACTTCTACAAGAAAAATATATCGAGCTGATACGCTAATCATTAGCGCTCAACTGTTTTGTGCGAATTCTTTTATATGAGCTTAATAATTCCTTTCATTTTCCTAAAAGTATTTGCCTGCCAAAAGAAGAAAAAAGATATAACACTGAATAACTTTTGCTATAATGATCAGATTTTTACAAACTAAGTGCCGATCATAATGGTTTGAAGGGGAGAGCACAACTATGCTAATTAATTAGGGTTTACTGTTAATTAAGTTGAAGAATCAAACACAAAATCGCACTTTCTCGTGAAATAAACCTTTCATTCGATGTAGTTGGATTTTGAACTATCAAAATGTTAGGAGAGTGATCGAAAGTGGTTCATTGTATGTCTCACCAAAACTTCAGCTGTCATGATAAGGGAAATTGCTTTCAGGTGCGTTAGTAGGTATCCCATTGTCCCCGCTCAGAATGAGCTCGGCTCAATATTCTATTGGCATGATATAGCTATTTTCTTTTGGCGCTTACCTGATGAAGAGGTTGCTGTTTAGCCTGGTATGAAGAATGATTTTTCCTCTCAGCAAGAGTGAGATCGAAGTCTTAGCTATCAGAGGGAAAATTTTGTAAGAATCAAAGAAGCGAAAAGACTAGCCACCACAATTTATGAAGTGATTGGGACCCTTAATGATGATTTCACTATTTACGAATTTCGACAGATTTCGAGAATTTTTCATGATAATCAAAACATTTTTGCAAATAATTATGAATTTAATTCATCTAAAGCTAATTAAGCGCGAAAATGATTATTTTAAAATAGGTTTTCGCTATTGTTCACCATTTTACTTAACAAAGTTCGAAAATTTTTTTAATTGTTAGATGTAAAAACGTTTACGTCATTTTAAAGTATGTAATTTTAAATTACAAAATACAAAGTTTGAGCGAAATTGGTAGACTAATTCTTGAAAAAACAGAATTTTAAAAATGCGGCTTTTTTGAAATTTTGTAACTCAGAAACTATTCAACCGGTGACAAATAATTTTCCTATGACAACTATTAAAAATATTCGCGCTCACTTTCGAGATAATAAATATTCCATTTAGCGTGATGTTTCAAAATTTTTTAGATAATATTAAATAATAGAAAGCTATTTTTGCTTAATAATTACTTTAAATATATGACGAAAGTTGAATAAAATGCAATTAGATTAGAGCTAACCAATGAGAAAAAACTACCATGCGTTTCTTCTTCTGTAGTAATTTAATAAATTTTTCAGAAAACAGTTTTCTAAAAACGATAAGAATACACAGTGAAGAAAAATTACGGAAGTGACGACATCGTAAGTAAATCATGACCTTTTTCGATTCAGAAGCCAATCTGATTCGACATACACGCGTGACGTTGCCTACCAGTTAAATCTCATTTAAATCAAATGGTTTGGCATAATCACTTTACTTTTTCTGGAGTTGCAAGTACCCAATTCTAAGAAAAAAAGATCTTCATTTTTTTTATCTTAGGGTTTATTAANAACTCCGCTATAGTGAACATGGTTTATAGTGAACTCTCGGCAGAGCCGGATTATACCTTTCATAGGCCCTAGGCATAGCCGTTTTCGGGCCCTCCCTCCTTCCCCCACTCCTCCCCTCTTTTCAAAATATATGCTAAAAATTTTTTGCATATTTTTTTTTTTAACATTTTTATTAATAAGGATTTTAAAATACAAATTTGTTTATCGAACTTTATCTGCAATACCGTCATACTGCCGACATTGCAGTTGATATCGATGCAGTTGATATCGATGCAAATTAAAGATAAACTTGTGAATACTTTTCCTAACGTTCACATTGCATTAAGAATATATTTGTCGATTCTTGGATCAAATGCAGAAGGAGAAAGATTAAAAATGATAAAAAATTATTTGCGGTGAACTGTTGCACTGATGAAGGTTGCCCTTTGAGCATCCGAAACAGCTGTCTGCTTTTATAATATATTTTTGTGCTCTTTAATGTTGTTTACCTTAGTTTGTGGTATTTGATTACTTATTACTTGTGTTTACAATGCAAACAGTACTTGTGCTTTCAAGGCTAATATTGCTAACACTAGCGTAAAATGGTGCACAGCTTGCAACAAGAAAAAACAGTAATAAACAAATGGAAAGAGGCCAAATCAGGACTGCCAAAAAAGTGAGTTATTCAAAATCTAGCCACCATGTCACCGTATTTTACAATCTATCTATAAGTAACTAAACAAATTTTCACTTCAAACTCACCAGAATTTCATAATAATCTTATTATAATTCATCATAATTTCATCTTATGAAATACGGCAGATTTGAGCTCAGAAATTGTCTAATTTACTTCGTTTATTGAAAAAAAAAATTTCCGTTTGAAAATATCGCCTCGCAGAATAAGCTGTATTAAGCTGTTGCAAACTTTCTAACCGGAACTAAAGCTGGTATTGAGCTCGAGATTGTCATTGTTTACATTTATACTGAAAACACCACCCCTAAACTTATTTTTAAAATAACTCTTATTTTGCGGTTAGAGTACTTTTAAATGTTTCTCTTTCTTGTCTTCAATTTAATGCAATTTGGTTTAGTTTTATTTGTGATTTTTTTACAACTTCTTCTAAGATTTGGCCCTTCTCCCTTCCCTCTCCTCCTCTTTTCAGTTGCTTAGGAATGTACTACGATATTTTTCCTTTTCTTAATATTTTTTCTTTATATTTAATAAAAATATTTTTTAAAATTTTCACGATGCTTTTCTTTAGAACTATGTTTAATGTAATTTTCAGTTCCATATAGTTTTCTAACTTAAAAGTTTCCAGAAAATCAAGAGAGAAACTAACATACTTATTTCCTCTATGACTCTTCACCCGCTAATGGGGAAAGCATGTGAAGTGCTGCCATAGGTAAAGAGTTCTGCTCCACGCCACTCGCAACCCATTTCACACGGTTCTCAGCAGATTACCGAAGTCAAGCATCACTGGCTACTGTCAGTGTGCGGGTGGGAGACCACTTGGATCAGTCTGCGTAGGGACCGAGGGTGTGCGGTATTGGTCCTCGTTGAACTGTGCTACCGTAAAGTGCTCGACTTCGCGCGCAGGTCGTCGGGCTACCGAAGCGGGGGTGCCATCCTTTCCGCAGAGAATCAAAATTGTGATGGCATATGTCTTCGGATCATCCTCCGGGATGTTTCCCAGACCGTCGCCAATAGCCCATTGTGCAGCTCTAGTGCGACATAAAGTAACAACAACAGCAACAGCAACCCATTTCAATCGTCATTTTTGAAGAAAATTTATTTATTGCAAGGTAACATGAATGTGCTAGGATAGGTTATATTCTTTTATGCATATTAAAATATTTGTTTCCTCAATTGAACTAATTTTCAATGCAGAAAAAATTCAATGCATGAAACAGTAAGTTTTACAGAAGAAAGTAGTACAGCGTCCTCTACTATATCAATTTTTGAATAATTTTGTTCGAACAATAGTAGAGGTTCTGTACTACAGAAGTAAACAGCTGTTAACGTTCTCGCCCATATGAAAACAAATAAACGCTAAATTCGAAATTGAAAATTATGTCCTGAGAAGAGATTCTGGCTTACGAAATAGGTTTAGAGTAAAATAAACTTTTCATTTGCTCTCGAATTTCTAAAATCAGATTAATTTTGAACTCTAATTTAAATGTCTCTAAGATAAATATGATTAAATAAACTAATTCAGTAAATTACTTGTCACAGCAACTTTAACAAAAATTGCAGACGATTTTAATTTTTTACGAAGTAAATGATAATATCCCCTAGTTATAGTTATTTTTTTGTAACTTAACTTTCTTAAATTTAAAGAAAGTATTTAAGATTTATTCTTAAAGTTTTTACGCGCCTTCTTACGTAACCGTATTTTATTTCACTAATACAATTAGAAATAGTTAAAATATTCTATTACGCGAAATCAATGGGTGTTTATATATTGTTCATTATGCATTAAAAATATTATTACACATTGCTCAATTATTTTTATACTTTCAATTACTTATAAATTGTAAATAAAAATTTATGATCAATATTAATAAATTATTGTAAAATATTTACAGTTATTTTGACTACTCATTTGATGGAATAAGCAAGATGTTGAGTTTTTATTTTGAGAAAAAAAATAGGAGAATGTAGCTCTTCATCTTTGATGAGGTAATAAGTTTAAAAATCAATATTGACTGTGATCCTTCTGCTTATTGTTAGATTTTTTTTCATTATTATTGCTAAAATTGTGTTTCAATAATTAAAATCTGTCCGAATAAAACTATAATTCTGATTTTAAAGGGCAAGGTTTTTTATACATAAAGGCAAAGTGGGGAATACTTGAATTCACCACTTTGCAGTTCCATAGAACACTTGTCATTTGCACAACACTTGTCATTTTCTTCACATTATGAAGTATTCAAAATTTGTCAGAACTTTCCTACTTGGCGCTGTGTTATTCTGTGTAATTTCAGTGAGCTTAAGTAGTAAAGCAACAGATTACAAGATAGAGAGAAATAAAAAAAAAAACTTTCACAAAAAATATTAAACAAAAACCCTGAATCATTTACATTTGAACTCGCTTTTAACAAGCTCTGATTTTATAAATACCAAAACTTAAAGAAAAAATTTCAAATACTTGGTTGGTACAGTGCTATATCTGTTAGAGCAGTGTTTCCCAAACTTATGACTTTTGTGTACTTTTTCTAAATTTTTCATAATGCTGGGTACCACTAGTGAAGAAATGAATGTTTTTTTTTTAAAAATATGCTTATTTTAATGAACCTATTTTAGTTATTTAGTTAACTCTGCAAAAAATAACCAATAGAAAAATATTTAATCGTAAATTTTCATGACTAGCTTTGTTTTTAAATAAAAGTTTTTGAAATTTTCGTTTGTTGCAAGATATTTTGCGTAAGAATACATACCCCAGCTGAACTGTTCCCGTACCCCTGGGGGTACACGTACCACACTTTGGGAAACACTGTGTTAGAGCATAGCTTGCTTTTAACAAGCTAACCCCGGTTTTTGTGAGTGATTTTTTTTTGTGATCAATAAAATTTCTACTTAATTACACCCCTCTGGAACAACTGATCCTTTTAGAAAACATTTCTTTTTGATGTTTTTGGAGTTGACAAATTCCTTTATGATATTTTTTACATTGAGCAATTCCTATTTGAAATTTTCTGAGTTGACGAACTCCTTTTTAATGTTGATGATGTTTTTCAAGCCTTAAATAAAACATAAGAACGTAACAAAATGTACTTTTTGATAAGCCAAGAGCAAGTGAAAAGTCTCTAAAAAAGTAGACTTCTGCTTTGTTATTTTTTACTACTTTTTTATTATATTTATTATTTAAACACTGAACTAAATGGATGTTCCAAAAAAATTAAATAGAACGAAAAAAGCGAAAGTAAAAAAATTACTAAACAAAATAGTTGAATTAGTTCTTTGGCTCAATATTTAGCTTGGCTCTGCATGTCAATGGATCTTTTTGCATGCATGATTTCTCAATTATTAATTTTGTGCATGTAACTAAAAAAAAACAACAACAAGGAAGTTAACCCAATATTTGTGATGTTGAAAAAATATAAATATCTATGAGCAGCAAGTATAAGAATTTTGGTTGTTTGGGCAATACTGTAAAAGATTACAGTGCAATTTAATATTGAACAAGCAACGTGGCTGTATAGTTACTTTTCTTTAAAAATTTTAACTAGTGAGAAGAAAACTTTTTATAAATTTTGACTTTGCAAATTGGTTGGTTTTAGAGAAGTAAATTACAAAAGAAAGCTTGCATTTTTTGTAAAAAATTATATTATTTTAACCATTAATGTTCACTGTTTTATCATCTTGAAAGGATTTATTAATGTGACCTGATCATAAAAGTTATACTTGTTTCTAAGTTTTAAAATTTTCATAACCTTTGTCAAACTCATTTATTTTAGTTGTTTTGTTATTTTAAAAGTTAATAATGCTAACGTTACTATCACAATCTCTCTTATTCAATACAAATATATCTTTGAGTTTGTNACGCAACCAGGACGGATTTGCCAGATGTTTTTTACCCACAATTTAACACCATTTTTGTCCATCCAGAATCACATTATTGCTCCTTCAATTCAACCCTCACAAACATGTCAAATTCAGTTCTTTTATTTTTGCAAACGATACTTTTTATTTACGATCTTGAAAGACGAGATATTGCACATGTACAATCCAAATTTTCGTGCGCGTTATACGAAGAGTATATTTGAAAATTTAAAAAAAGTAATTAGAAATTACGTGTGCGCGTTATACGCCGGGGCGCGTTATGCGCCGGAATATACGGTAGTTACTTTTCTTTAAAAATTTTAACTAGTGAGAAGAAAACTTTTTTTAAATTTTGACTTTGCAAATTGGTTGGTTTTAGAGAAGTAAATTACAAAAGAAAGCGTGCATTTTTTGTAAAAAATTATATTATTTTAACCATTAATGTTCACTGTTTTATCATCTTGAAAGGATTTATTAATGTGACCTGATCATAAAAGTTATACTTGTTTCTAAGTTTTAAAATTTTCATAACCTTTGTCAAACTCATTTATTTTAGTTGTTTTGTTATTTTAAAAGTTAATAATGCTAACGTTACTATCACAATCTCTCTTATTCAATACAAATATATCTTTGAGTTTGTCTTATATTAAACATAGGTTCAATAATTCTTTCCCTGATGACCTTTCTTCCTTTTTTTTGTTACTTCCTTTATATTCTCCTTTTTGTTTTGGGATCAGACACGGTTTTATCATTGCCTGATTTTGTGATCTTGAGTATATATGTGCTATTTCAGATTTTGCAACAAAGCCATATTTGACACAATAAATTTAATTTTATATGTTCACTCATTCAAAACGAAGCAATAAAGGGAATGAGGCATAATTGAAAGGATATTAAAGTTTATTGTGGTTCATTGAGTTAATTATTTTATGGAAGCAAAATCTATAGTTGAAATTAAAAATTTAATTATTATCTTCTTAGTGTAAAGTAAATTTTTTTGTGAACAGAAATTTAAAGTAAATGTGTTGAAAATAAGTTTATATACAGTATATTTCTAAATGTAAATCACAAAACATTGGTTCTTATAAAAAGGCAGTGAACTTCATAACCTGTACACGAAAAATGAAAATTCATTCATGTGAAATGAAAATTCCTTTAATGTTTAATCAAATCTCCATAAATTTTCATTTTCATTTATTTTGAAAAACGAGTGATAGAATACTTGTTAATAAAATTCTTTCTCAATTATTAATGCTCTGCCATTTTTCCATTATTGAGAAGTGGCTTTGTTTTTGGTCTTCCTTTATTATTTCTGATGTTTGTTTTAGTATTGTTTTGATATTGTTAGACAGAGGAATCCATATGATAAACAAATACTGCAAATTGCTCTTGAAAAAAAAAATCTCTAAAATTTCTTATTTTATGCACAGAAGTAGTAATATTTGCTATTGAAATAAAATGAAATATATTATTTAATAATATATTGAAATGAATTAAACTAGACATGATGGAACTAAAAATACCTAAAAGGATTTTTATTGTTCCTATAATTTTCATAACATATTTGAAACTAGAGTTATTGAATATTCCTTTAAATTTAAGTTCTCTTTCAGCTTCATAAATAGTTGGCAGTATGAAGATATTCAAATAAATGGATCTAGAAAAATATAATAGTATGTATGATTATTTTAATTTTAGTTTCTAATATTTCAACTGAATTAATAGTTGTTCATTAATTAAAGGAAGGGAACTTTTGTAATTGTTTGGTGTTCATTTCCTTGAATATATTATTCTTTTGTTATTTTGAATTTATAATTTATTATAACAGATAAGAAAGTTTAAACTTAACTTTAAAGAATGTTAACCAGCTCTTTTCTTAATATATATGTTTTATCATATTTAAATCTATGGTGTTTTTTTCTTCATTTTAAATTCTTGATACAAATTTTGTATTTTTACAAAATACATCATAAATTTAAAAAAAAAAATTTTTTATACCTCTGATTATTTTGATTATTTCATTTTTTCCTGAATTAATTTTTGTAACAAAGAAAAAGGTTTTCTCAAAACTGTTCATGAACTATTCATGAATGTTTTAATTTATTATCGTCTGTAATTTAGTTCAGAAAATCACAATTTAAAAAGAAATTGTAAGCTGTTAATTTTTTTTTCTTTTCAAATCTTATATGAACTTGTTACTTATCTCAACTTCCTTATTTTTATGTCACTTTTACTATTATTAAATAAATTGTAAAACTCCATAAATATACAAATTTATTTTAATGAAAAGAATGCTCATGAAATTTTGATTTATCATTTTCAAAGGTTATGTCAACTTATGACTTTCCTGATTGAGACAGTGTTAATATTTGGTTGAAACTTTATTTTATAAAAATTTTCATCTCAATGTATATATGTGGTAGACCCTGTACCATATTTGATTTTAACTCTATTTAAATAAGAATAATACTTCTATTTTAAAAGATATTAACTATGCTGAATTTGTGTTAAAAATAAATATGTGTTTGAAAAATAACTTTTTGTGTTTTTAGACTTAGTTATGGACTTCCAGAATCTGATGTCATGCATTAAATGTCATGAAGATTCAACTAATATTCCTATAATCTTAGAAACATTAAAAACTATTATTGATATCTGTGTTAATGAAGGTAAATGCTATTTAATTATCTTTTTGCTTTAGTGCTCTATATAATTGCTATATTATAATATCTTATATAAAATTTCATATCCCTCTGCTAATTTTTTTTCTCATAAATTATTGACATTATTTTATCAGTAGTTTTACAAAATTATGAACACAACGTGAGAAATTAGCAATGGTATTTTATTTAAATCATATAATTTATGATGTGAAGGAAGCTTCAAATATCAAGAATTTAACAGTTTTAATTTTTTATGTAATTTGCAAGAAATTTTTTTAATGCATCTTTACTCGTTTTAGTTATTTATAGGCTGTTAAAATGCTTATGGTTTTTAGTTGAATGACAGAGATAGAATTAATTTACTAATGACTGAATTTTTATCAATATTTTCAAATGAATAAATAAAGGCATTTTACACTGTGGGGATTTTTGTCTAATGCCTAAAAAATAGGTTTTACCATGTGCTTCATTTAATGTTATGTTTTTATTTCTTATTAATGATGAAAATTCAAGATTGAGGTAATACTTTTTATTTCTTATGGTTAAAAGGTTTTTATTTTTTATAATTAATGTAGAAATAGAATAAAAAATATACCATTATGTCTGATAACTAATGGATAGTATCAATGAATGCTATGAACTTATGACATAAAATGATTATTACAAGTTTTTTAATAAGTGTTATTATAAGATGGTTTATTATTTGGGACACTTTAGTAGCAGTTTTTTTTTTTTGAGATAGAAAATAATAGTATTCTTAGTAATATTTTTGTTCTTATTATATGTTAAGAATGCTAGATTGCTCTGCATTTAATATTTACAACTGATTCATTAAATTTAAAAGTTTTTATGAAACTTTTGAACTTAGATTGCTATCTTGCTCGATAAATACTTTTGAAAATTTCATAATGTGTATTTTGCAGAGTTAGAAAAATATTTTTTTACTTTTATTTTGCTGAACAGTTGCTGTTTTTTTATAAAAATTACAAAACTTACTTTACTCAAATTCTTTGTACTTATAATTAAAATTATGGAACAAAAAATAGCTGACAGAAGTTATATTTAAACTTATTAAATTTACAAATAATTAACATTACATTGAATAAAATCCAAGAAATATGCGTATTTTAAAAAGGAAGTAATGTAGTATTGTTTTTTTTTTTTAAAAAAGAATTATATTTAGCAAAATTTTAAGAGCAGTAAATATTAATTTAATCTAAGATTTCACAAGCCTATAATTGTGACTTATTTTCCAGTCAAATAATTCTGATTCATTATATATTAATTTATTTTTTTAATGGTAGATTGTGGAAAAGATGCTTTTCGAGAAGAAGGTGGACTTGATTTTCTTATTGAACTTGTTTCTACCACAGATAGTACAACCCTGTTAGAACACTTGTTGAAAACATTGGCTTTTATCATTGATGAAAATGGTATTTATTGATTAATTAAAATATATACCTTTCTTAAAAGTTTGGTGAAGAATACTTATGACACTTATTTCTAAACAATGACTAAGAAAAGTTGTTTAAAATATTTAAAACAATATTTTTTGCATCTTTTCCTTAGAACTATTTTAGTTTTTCAATGAAAAAGTGCAAAAATATTGCAATTTATTTAATATAAAGCTCTGAATTGTAAAATAATGTAATTTTGATTACTTTTTGGGATTCATAAAAATATATTTTAAGTATGTAATGAAGAATCATTGTTTCATGAAATGCTAGTTTTCATAAAATGTTTTTGTTACAAGAAATAGCACTAAATGTAATTTTTTTTAAAGTTATGCAAAGCAACATATCACTTTAAGAGTATTAAAAGTGGCAAATGGAAAAATTCCTCAAGTTATTTATCTATTTTTAGGCTGTTTTCATGAATTTATTACATTATTATTTAATTTTATCAGTGGAATGAAATGGAATTGTATAAAATATAAATATGAGAATCAGAAAAATAAATGATGAATTTGAACTTTTATAATAAAAAGTAAGTGTAAATAAAAAGTTTTATAAAACTTGAATTGATTGCCTTTTAAATGTATTTTTGTGATTCATTATAAGATGTAATTTTAATTTAAATTGAGTGTTATTTAAATGCTTTTCATCATATTATTATTCGAATATGTAACTAATAATATAAGTAAGCTTGTTTATGCATTTAAGTGTTATTTTTTTAAATATCTTCATATGCTTCTATGTATGTTAAAGCTAAATTATTCCTATATATTTACATTGACATTATAATATAGTGCTAAGCGCAACATAGTTCTTTTGTAACTTACAACTAGCTGACTCATTTCTTATTTTTTAGTTCATAGTCAAATGCATTTGACGAAAAAAGATTATTTTCTAATTCTTCAAGCAATAATTCAAAGACCTTCTTTTCCTCCTGTAATACTGAAAAATTCACTTTTGCTTACATCTTCTATCCTTTTCCAAAACAGTAAGTGTCCTTTTAATTTTTTCTTTTTAAATTTGAAGCAATTTTTTTTCTATTGATAGTCATTTTCTTATCTCTTTTTTTAAAACCCATGTTGATAATTATTAAAAAAAAAAGCATTTTTTGTGATTCTTATATTAACAATTGTTTTTATAAATATAAATACACTGATGGAAAAAAAAAATCTTGACACCAAGAAAAAATTATTGTAGAGTAATGAAATTTTGGCAATGCGTTTTTCTGACTAACATATTTAATTGATTGAAGTTTCAAGAAACCATTTCAAATGTGAAGTACTGGTACATTAATAACCGGTGTAATCACCAGAATTTTGAATCCAAGCATGCAAACTGGCATACAGATGCCATTCAAATCATATAAATGTTGTGTCATGCAAATGCCATATGTAATTTTGTGAGTTCCATGCCTGTTGCACTTGGTCAGTCAATACAGGGATAGTTGTGGATATCGCTGAAGTTGTCATCCAATGATGTTCCTTGCATGCTGGATTGGTATAAGATCTGGGGATCTAGCAGATCAAGTTAACATGTCAACATTTTGTAGAGCCTGTTGGGTTGCAACAGCAGTATGAGGACAAGCATTATTCTGTTAGGAAATAGCTTCTTGAATGCTGCTCCTGAATGGTAATTAAAAGGTTTAAACACTAGGTTGTGGTACAAATTTGCAGTCAAGGTGCGTGGAATAACTACGAGAGTGCTCCTGTTGTGATAGGAAAATGCTCCCCAGACCATAACTCGAGGTGTAGGTTCAGTGTATCTGGGCTGGAGACAGGTTGTTAGCAGGCACTCACCTGGCCTCTTTCTAACCAATATATGGCTATCACTGGTACCAAGAACTGATTTTCATCAGAAAACACAATAGATGTCCACTCTGTCCTTCAGTGAGTTCTCACTCAACACTACTCATGTTGTAAACGGCAGTGGTTTGGAGTGAGTGGAACACAAGTTATAGGGTATCCTGCTGTACTTGAAGTAGCCGTTTTGTACCAGTTCATTGTGTCATTACAGTTACTGCAGCTCAAATTTTTGATTTAGGTGCAGTACGTTGTGCTACAACCATGCACCGTGCACAGAGGTCTTCCCTCTAACTAGTGCTGCATGGCCATCCAGAACCTGGTCTTCTTGAAGCTGTACCTTCCCTTGACCACTGCTGCCAACATAATGGGTAAATTTTTCCTCAGTTTTTTGCAATATCAGGGAAAGGAATTCCATTTTCTTGCTGCCCTATTACATGACCACGTTCAAAGTCAGTGAGCTGTTGATAATAGCTTTTTCCATCAGTGTAAGTGTTTTATAAATTAAATAAAAAACAGGAAATATTATGTGTTTTAGATAATGTATCATGTTCTTGTTTAGTCAAGCCATTATAAGAACTTCTTTGTAATTTAAAACAAATAATATTTTTATTTGTATAAATGCTTTTATGAAAAAAAAATTTCACGTAGCTGAAATTTGGTATGCTTTCTTTATTAAAGTTTAGATTTCTTAAGGATTATTTTTCTGACCATTGTATAATAATTGATTATTAAAAGAAATTTATAAATTTTTTTTTATTTACATTAAGTACCACAGTTAAATTGATTTATTTCTTATTTTATTGTTTTCTAGTATCCAGAATATAAACATGCTTTTTTTAAAAATTCTAATGCAGTTTACTCTAAATTACATTATATTTTGCTAGGTCTGGCACAAAGTTTAATGTTAGAAATTGGATTTCTTCAAGATGTTATTAAATTATTTGAGTAAGTTATAGATTAATACAATAAATAGTTTGATTATATTCAGTTTTAATTTTCTTTTCATAAGGAGTCTAAATAATAATCGTCATAAATTATACACAAAATATTGTATTAAAATTATTTCATGAGTCATTTTAAGTGTCACCAACATTAATGATTTAAATGACCTTATTGTTGGCATAAATGGGTTAAATGTTAATTTTCTACATTAGTATAATTGAAATTAAAGGCCTAAAAATAAAATAGAGATGCATGCATTTGTTTACAGAGTTTTGCTGAGGTATTGTTACTTACCGACATGTTAGTATATTTTACTGATAAAACATGCTTTTTTTCATTTGTCGGAAATAAAGTCACTATCAGGTTAAATATCTTAAACAAAAGGGATTGCAAGACTGTGGCATAAATGAGAAGTGAGTTTATCTTTTTTTAAACTAATAATTTTAGCTATGATATCTTACAAACTTATTTTTAAACTATTAAACCATGAATTTTTATACTGAAAGTTTCATTAATATCAAACAGAAAAAACGAAGACAACAAAAAGCACAAACAAAATAGCCTGAAAGTACTATTTTTATAACTTTCCTATTATTCAAAGCTTAATTTAAGTAAAATGTTGTAAATAATAATTTTATAAACAGCTTTTTTCTTCAGAAACCAGATAAAACTATTCAATTCATACATTTCAGAAAATTCTTTAAATTATTGCAATAATGCTTATTGCAATTAATTAATAGCTTCTCGCATATGTCATCATATATAATAACATTTTAAAAGTAATTTTAGTTTGTGAGTAATGGTCATGGTAAAATCTGTTATATTATTTATTTTTTCTTATTCTGTATATTTAGTTAGTGAGCTAAAAGAAAACTATTGTTGTTTTTAAAACACACATATTTTGAAATTACTTCATTAAATGTATTTTAAGCATACAGTTAAAAAGTTTTTAAAATATTCAAATATTTGGAGATTTTGAAATGTGTAGTTAAAAAGTAGTTGACCAATTTTTTAAAAAACAATCACAATTAATTTACTCTTATTTGCTGCGACCTATTAAATTATTTTTAAACATGGTGCGTAACATTTTTAAAAAGTGCTTATTTTTAATTTTTTAAAAGCCCTTAAAGCTGCTTTTTTCATTGGTTCTTTTTAAAAAGTGCTTAATTTTCCCTTTTCAAAAATGAGATTTTTTTCTTTACCATGTCCATTTTTGCCACATATTATGTGAAAGCTTACTTTTCACATTGTTCTATTCACTATTTACATAATTCATTCAGATTTTGGCATACAGTCGGTTCATAGCATATGAAAGAGCCAATAATTTTACATGTTTGATGAAATTCTTGCGTGTGCATCTACTGAGTTGGGTTCGGTGAGATAATAGCACCCATGTTTATATTTAAAAAAAAGCTACATTTTAAATAAAATATTTGAAAATATTGACTCTTTTCTTGTGGGGTAAGTACTCATCCTATACTATGTGATGAAAAAGGAAAAAAAAAAAGAAAAAAAACATACTGACCTCGAAATTATAAGATTTTTTTGGAAAATCTGATTTAAGTTGCCACCATGTTAATGTTTTTGTGTTTATTGTAAAAATTGTTTAAAAGGAGAAAATCTAGCCTCTTAATAATAGTTGAGATTTCAATTATACAAATGAATGTAACTAAAGGGTGCAATTTTTTTCAAAGTTTTTTCTTGTTAAATGTAACTTATTGTGAACTAATTGATGTAGATCTTACAAAATCCATTAATCATATACTCAAAATAAAAATATTAAGTATAATTTTACATAGCTATGGTGCTTAAATATGTTATTATTTCTAATCTATTCTAAGTGATATAATTCATTATGTTTTGAAACTTTGGAGTTAATTTGGAGAAAATTAAGTTTTCTTTTTGCCATCAAATAAAAAATTTCAAGATTATTTATTAATATTTTATTAAATTAAAGCGCTCAAAGTAATAATTTTGAAACGTCAAAGTAATCATTTATAGTATTTTAATGTATTAATATAAATTGCAATGTTTAGTCTGATAATATACTTATGATTGATAATATACTAATGATTGATGATAGAGTCAACTATATTAAATAAGATTATGTTAAACACTAAGTACTTCCTAGCAATGGGGTTTTTTAGTATTGTTTTAAAATTTAATTATTAATTCTCTTTTTTGTAGACAAAGTGCCTCTTTCTACATATGTAATAATTTTAGCAATCCAGTGTTAAGTGACTCGCCTGTTGATATACTAATAAGTGCAAATTCTGTTTTGTGCTTTGCTGTAAATAATCCGCAGAATGGTATATTTTTTAAATATATATATCTATGTTTTTTTATCTGTTATGGTGTTAATTATAAATTTAATTCTATGGTAGGATAATTTTTTTTCAGAAATGAGAAATTGAAATGAAATAAATAAAATAAATTTTTAACTATTTTTGTTTAAAATTTTAATGTTAGTAGGATATCTTTTTATAGAGGTTCCAAAATGAGAACAGAAAATTCATGAGTATTTCTTTCCTTTCTGATGAACAAGAAAAGTATCTTTAGAATATAATTCTGAAGAAAAAAGGAAAAAAAAATTACATATGTTTTTTATTCAGCTATTTTATTGCTTTTCTATTTTATTTAACTCTTTCTTTACTCTGTTTTTTAAATAAATCTGTTTTATAAATATGAAGATGCAGAGTATAACAGTTTTGGTTATACCTACCATTTCAATTAATGTTATTATAATGCTTTTTTAAATTTATTGTTGTGTTTTTGTTGGAGAAAATAGTAACTTTGTTGTCATTAAAAATTATTGGAATTAGTCATGGAAAGTCTTGAACTTGAAAATATAAACTGTAGCAAATACCCTGCATGTATATTATTCTGCTTACTATGCTGTATAATTAATTGAATCAAATCTAAAAAAAATCTTAATTTTTTAAAAATAATTATGCTTTTATTCACATTATACTTTTGTCTATGTCGACAAATACATGAATTATTCCGTTTGTTGTAATACATTCTTGAAGATATATTGGTATAGACTACATTGACCAGTGCTTATGTCATGTAACCAAGCTTTTATAGCATGATTATGTTTGTTTTTTTTGTCATAGAGGGTATCTTACTTAAGCAACTCTGCAAAACATTCCATACATTTATTCAAAAGAGTTGAAGTTTACTGAATTTTTCTACAAATCAAGTAACCTACTTTTGATTTCCCAGTATGAATCTATTGATGATTTTTAGATTATGGCTAGAGCCATGTTATAATTCCCAATCAAATATTTCCATGTATAAAATAATCTTATTTGGTCAAATTCATCAAGCCTCGAAATGGAGGCTTGTTCCAATTTTACCCTTAGTTCAATAAATTGAAAATTTTACCCTTAGTTCAATATGCTGCGATTTAAAGAAAGAAAAATAAATTTAAAAAAAAAGCATGTCTGAATTAATATACAATTAAGTGTAATATACTTTCAGGAAAAAAGTTAAAAAGTATTTAATATATATTTAACAAATATATTTTTAGTAATTGATAGATTTTTGTTTTCTTTGTATAATTTTAATTGTAGAAATTATGAGTTTTCATTATTTTTTTGAATTTTAATATTGAGTTCTTGTATTATATTGCTAATTAATTCAAACTGAAATGTTTTATACCATACCCATTAGAACCAAACCAAGAAATTTGTTCTGTACTTTTCCCACGATTATTGAAGTTGTTTGAATTATCTTCTGATACTGCTCTCTCTGGATCATTATCATCGTTTTTATCTCTGTGTGTGGCCAACAATGGTAACGTTATTTATTAATTATTTTAAAAGGGTGATTCTTATTTTTAATCCTTTATTAATATTCTAATCATTACATTTGTAGTTAAGAGTCAACAGAAGTTTGCTGATTCTGATGGCTTATTGGTATTAAAACGTTCTCTTCAAAAGTATTATGATTTAGCTGTTTCAGATGTAACAGAATTTCACAGTGTTGTTTCGAAATGTACATTACAATCCTTGATTAATTTGATTGGTGTCATTACAGCTGTTGCAAGTGAAAATGGTAATTATTTTTTTCTCCTCTTTATTATAGATATTTATTTCTTTATTATAGATATTTATTAAAAATTAATTATTTAAGTTTTTCCACAAAATTTCTATTTGTTCTTTTTTTTCCTGCAAAATTCTTGTAAGTGTTATGAATATTTAATTAGTAATATATAATTAGTAATTTTGTTTACATTGTCAGTATTATGATTCAGATTAAAAGATTAATGAAACTGAAAGAATACAAAATTGTAGAAATTATTTTAAAGTTAAACACTTTATATATATTAAAACTTTTTATAATTCAATTTAAATTATATACAATTAAAACTATTATGAAGGTTTTACCATTTTTATTGTTTATAATTTTTTTCTTGTAAAAGATTCCAACTTAGATACATAGTGCTGAAATTTTTTTTATTATTAGAATTTGTTTAACAAAAATTTCAGCATGCTATTTCAATGCAGTTAAACTTATTACTTCTTTTTTAAATTTATGTAAATTTCAAAGAAAGAACAACCCTGAGTAACTTTTGATCTAATGATTAGATCTTCAATTTCTAGGGCTCAATAGTAATTGCTGAAAGGGTGAGCTAAAATATGCTAATTAATTAGTGGCGATAATTTTTAAGTTTCAAAATCAGGCACAAAAACACACTTTCTTGGAATAAATATACCTTTTTAAAATGGATTTGGATTTCTGACCCCCAAAATATAGGAGGGTAGTCGCAATCTGGGAAATATAGTTCTCATAGTTTGATCAGGAAACCAATCCAATGTTTGGACCTCATGACGTTAATTTTTCTTTACGCCATATATCAAGAACTTAACCCACTGGCGGGTTAGAAAATGGGTGAGGGTTTCTCCCCTATAGACAATTCCCTTTCTGTTAACATGGAAAACCGGTTTTGTTAGGCGGAGAAGACTACAGGTTAAAATAAGACTCTTTACATGTAGTACTGCCAGTGGGTTTAGCAAATTGAAAAATTTTTGCATTCAATTATAAAATTCGTTTATTTAACAATATAATTCCGTACAAAAAATAAATTTTACTTAATATTTATTATGTTTTATTATTTTATTTAATATCAGTGAAAAAATTTTGAATGATAAGGCATACGATTTTGTGCATCATTTTAAAGGAAGTAATTTTGCATTGCAAAATACAGACAAAAATCAGTTGAATAGTTCCTGAGAAATCGAATTTTAAGTTTACAACTTTTTTGAAATTATATTTCTCAGGAACTATACAACCGATTTTGTTGGATTCAATTTTTTGATTTGAAAATCGAAATCTATCCAAAAAACGGTATGTTTATTCAGAGAAAGTGCATTTTTGTGTCTAATTTCGTAATTTAAAATATCATCTTCACTAATTAAGTAGTATAATTGAGATCAAACCCTCGAATCATAAAGATTAAATCTTAGAACGTAAAGATCTAATCATTACATCAAAAGTTATTCTGAATTGTCCGTTTTTTTTTGGTGCATTGTACTTACAATTTATTTTAAGATTATAAATACATATTATTTTTTTTTTAAATTGCTCATAATTATAAAAATTTGATTTCCTTCAATAAGTAGAGAAATATACACTGAAGAGCAAAAAAACTGGTACAGGCATGAGTATGCAAATAAAGGGGTATGGTGCCAATCAAAGTACAGCCCTGCGATCGGCAACGAGTATATAAGACAACGAGTGTCTAGCACAGTTCTTAGATTGGTTACTGCTGCTACAATGCCAGGTTATACAGATTTAAGTGAGTTTGAACGTGGTGTTATAGTCGGCGCACGGCAAATGGGACATAGCATCTCCGAGATAGCAATGAAATTTGGATTTTCACGTACGACCATTTCACGAGTATACCGTGAGTATCGGAATTCCGGTAAAACATCAAATCTACGACATCGCATACATATTTGGGATGCCTTGAAACGTGATGTTCAGGAGATATCCCCACCCCCTCTTACTCCCACTGGTTTATGGACAGCCCTGCAGGATTCATGGTGTCAATTATCTCTAGCACTACTTCACACATTGGTCGAATCCATGCCACTTCGTGTTGCGGCACTTCTGCGTGTTCGCGGGCGCCCTACACGATATTAGGCAGGTATACCAGTTTTTTTGGCTCTTCAGTGTAATAAACAAGTAAATAAATAAACAAATAAAAAAAAAGGCATGCTCATTGGATGACTCAATGATATTTACTTTTGCACAATATGAAATAAATTATTATTTTGAAAAATATTCTATTACATATTGCTGGATGTAGTGTTAGAAAGTCTTGAAGTTGTTAGATCTTTTGTCATTCTGGCTTATTTCCTTTAATTTTATTACGTTGAGCCTTCTTCATTTCTTTCAAAAAATAAATTTTCGGAAGAATTATTGTAATTTTTGTCTAATAACAATTTCTACTGTTAAACTTGATTTTTTTTTAGAGAAAATAGTTTCTCTAATTTTATTTTCCTAGTTTTTTATGACTGTAGTCAGAAATTTGTTGAATTATTGCTATTAAATTACAATTTTTCTGTTTCAGATAAAAATGCTGCCATTTTGGGTAAGCTTGGTGTACTAACTTTAATGATAAAATTGCTTTTATCTGGAATTCTTAATGATGAGCTGAAAATTCGAGTTATCTTAGCACTTGCTTATTGTATAGATGCGCATAGTATGTAATAAAAGTTTTTGATTTATTGAAATTTAAATTGTTTGAAATATTTTTTTCCCCATTGTTTGATTATTTATTTCAAATTTTTATAGTTAGCTTACTAGCACCTCCTTATGACAAAATAGAAATTTTTTTAATTGACAAGATATATGTTTTTCCCCTAATTATTATTTTAAAAATAACCATCATGAAATATTTAAAAAATCATTATATTGTTGTATATCTTGTATGAAAAAATGGTTTTTCATAAACTTTGCTTTGCAAACATATTTTCTATCTGCTCTAAGAATTATTTTAAAGATAAGTGGACAATTTGTTTTTAGAATGCCTAGAATTTTTTTAAAAAATTTATTACTGGTTAGTATTTATTACTGCAAAGATATTTTTGAAAATTTTTAGAGAACTTTGAATTTTTTTCTTATTGACTTAATTTATAAATTTTACAAGATTATTATAAACTGATTGGACAAATTTGTCTTAATATTAAATTTTTAAAATTTATTTTCTAGTTTTGTTAATTTGGTCTGAATGTTGTTTATTTAAGATGGACTTCTATTATACATCACTGTTTAATTATTTTTAAATTACTTTTTTCTATAACAATTTATTTTTAGATAGAAACTTTTTATAAATTTTTTTAAAAAGAAATTAACACTTAAATAGATTATTGCATTTTATACTCTGTTCCCTTCTGTATAGGAACAGATGTAAATTTGTTATCCCCTCCTAGCTTGTTTTTTGCATCAGAGAAATTTTTTCTTCAATTTAGCAAAAATTTTTTTAAAAAGCATTATATCTTGGCATGTTCATAAGTTAAGGACTGAAAAGTAATTTCGCTATATTTAAATGCATCATCAAGGCTATTTTTTTCTTTTGACTAATAATAGATTTTAGCTAAACTAATTGAAATTACATGAAATTTTTTGGTATCATTTATTCACATAAATATCATTATTTTGTTTATCAGTTATAAATAGTTTCTAGAATTCCCATACTATTAAAAACTTATTTAATCTGAAATCCTTTCTCTTCCCCAATGTTTTTTAAATTCGGAGTCAGTGATTGAGGTAGTATCGGATTTAACTATTGTATAAAACAGATCAAGTTTAAGACTAAACCAAGTTTATAACCAAGTTTAAGACTAAATAGTTTTTTTTAACTTAATTTGTAATATTTATATTTAAGAAAATTTGTCAAAATGGAAAAGCACTAAAAGCAGCTAAAACCAAATTTGTCTTATGTAAACAATTTAAATTAAAAGTTAAAAACTAAAAGCAGGCAAAACGAAATTTGAAAGATTTTTTATGTTAGCGAAAGCAGCACTTCATTGGGCGACACACTGTCTGCTAACATATTGGAGCCTTATTGTAGTCAGTGGTAAAACCAAAATCTGATTGTGTCCCAAGGCCCTATAATGGATAAACTAAATAAGAAAATGCAATCAAAAAACCAAATATTGGAACAAAAGATAAAAATTCAAGGATATACAGAAAAACACAAAGTAAACATTCTCTGAGAAAATATTAATAAAGACAGGTCTATATATAATAAGAGATATAAATGAAGATAAAGTTACAGTTAGAATAACCAAATCAAAATAAAATTTTAATTGCCAAATCCCTAAAAAAAATTTCAAAATTTGTGCTGAGCTCTTTCGAAAAACTTGAAGCAAAAAAAATAAATGATTAAAAAGTCCAATTAAGTGCTACCATCTATATTCTTCAGGAACAAATATCCTAAATTTCACCATATAGGCCTATTTATGCGGGATTCAATATTGGCTGAATTAGTTCGAATTAAAATGAATTAAACTAATAATATTAAACTTATATTCTCTTCTTTTATCGTATAATGTAATTAAAACTTTTCAAGATCAATATCTAAGAAATTGGCACCTTTAACATCTGAATTAGTTCGAATTAAAATGAATTAAACTAATAATATTAAACTTATATTCTCTTCTTTTATCGTATAATGTAATTAAAACTTTTCAAGATCAATATCTCAGAAATTGGCACCCTTAACATCTGAATTAGTCTTTTTAAATAAAGTTCTTTAGGATAAATATCTTTAATTATTCAAAATTATTACAATCAAAAATAATTAAATCATCAATAAGTCTAATCCCAATTAAAAAATTATGTTGTAAAAATTTTTGTTCATAAAAATGTAAGAAAATATTAGCAAATGCACTTGAATAACAATTTCCCATTGAGATACATTAAATTTGTTTGTAAAAACATATACTATTAAATAGATAATTTTCAAAAATTTTTATGTTACATAAGTTAATCTAATCTTCCCTAATAGTTTCTGTATAATCCATATTAATATAAAATAAACCTGAAAAGAAAAAATTAATCAATACATAATAAAATATAAAAAATATTTAAAAATATATAAAACTAACCATTACGGGAACAGGACCAGAAACTCCATTAAAATATCAATAAAATTCAGATCATGAAATAATAATTTAAATATTAATTTCCAAACAAGATTGCGCATGGCAGCTAATCCAGGTATGAAAATATGAAATCCAATCAAAGTATGAAATTGATTGAAGCAAATTTAATTATCATAAAATTATTTTTGATTCTAATAATTTTGATTTAATTGAAGATATTTATGCTGAATAACTTAATTTAATAAAGACTAATAAAGGCGCCAATTTTTAGATCTTGAAATTATTATATGAATCATTATTATATTGAACTTTACAATGAAAAATTTTTAATTGGTTTATACGATAAAAAAAAGAATTTATTTTTAATGTTATTTGTTTAACACATTTTAATTCCAACTTATACTTTAAAATTTTTAAGAATATATTTATTGACCCAAGTCTTAGGTTAAAATTTATTTGTAGTAATAAAACAGATTTTCTTTTAGCTTCTAAGAATTTCAAAATTTTCTTAGAAAATAATAATTTTTCTTTCAATTATTGTAATTATAACTTTTTAATTCAACGTATTTTAAAGAAGTTCAACAAATTCGGCTGATATTGAACCCACGTGAAAATTAATTCTTGTTTTTGGGAGAAAAGTTTGGATTTTAAGCTGGAATCTTTATGTTTAATACAGCTTGTGTTTTATATAGTTTCTTATTAGAGTTAACTTCGATTAAAAATATATGTTGCTTCTTGCTTAAAATTAATCAATTTAAAATTATGTCAATTTAAGAGATCTTATAGCGTTTTAATGGTATTTTATAGGTAGCTGTAAATCATATGTTCTTCAATTTGAAAATTTTCATAACTTCCTTAAAAGTTGTTTTCAAAATGGTAACCCAGAACTTGTGGCTGCAAGTAAATACTTATTGCAAGTATTTTTAAATGGAAATGGTAAGTATTCATGATAATTTTATAAATATATTAATTGCTACATTTTTAAATATTTTTTAGATTAATCGAATAGCTGACTTAAATTTATGTCATTTATGGAATGATGTTTGTAATTTTAGATGTAAAATACTTTTACTTTTATTGACTTATATTTTTAGATATCATTTTTTTAAAAAAAATTAATGAAGTTAAAGTCCAATTTCTTCCAAAACTGTACTTTTATTTTCTTCGTATAAAACTCATGTCATGTTGCAAGGTTCAAAAATCTAGAAAATAATAAGTCAAAAAACAGATTTTTTTCAGATTTTTAGTTTTTTTAAAATTTGCTCTTCTTAAATTGTGATGTGGAAAAAAAACCACAATTGTTTCATTTTGTATTTTATTACACTGTTTTCAGCAACTAGAAAGGCATTTTTCAAAATATAATTCAAACATTTAGGTTAATGCTAGATACCTTTTACTGACTATTTACATTAATGCTTGACCAACTAAGTCTCTCTGTTGTTGAAAATTTGATATCACCGCTAAAAACATAGAGAATTCTTCTAATTTCCATTCCTCCCTTAAGAAAAAGGTATGATCATAGATTGCATTTTTTTCCACACTGAAATTTTACAATTTGTTAGTGTCGCCATCTGTTGAGTGTAAACAGCAATTGATTTCAAAATAGTTTTTTTTTTTATATTAATGAAAACTATAAAAAAATTCTAAATAGCTAATAATAATAGCTCGGTTTCTCTTTTCACGACTATTCATTGTGACCTTTCGTTTATCAATTTGAAATTATGATTTAAAAAAAATATAGTTCTTGCTTTTATTTTAAAATAACTGCGAAAAAGCCACAAAAAAGTTCCAAAACAAAAAGTTACACTTGCTCTAAAATATTAAAATTACTTAAATCAGAAGCAAAATATCCAAGCTTGCTAGGTGCTAAAGAGATAGTGTATAAAAATAGTTTATTCAATAAAGAATTATTTTTAGAAAAGAAAACGCTTATAACTAGGCATAAAAAATCAATTATGAAACTGCTTATCAAAAAAAAAGAAAGATGTGTTGGATTTTATGATTTCCCTACTTGGGTGTAAAAATATCTTTAATGCTTTAAAAAATTTTAAGCAAATTAAAATGATGGCCTCTGGGATCAAACTTGCAAAAAAATTTTTTTTTTCAAGTTACATGTCAGGTATGTGGAGTCATTCTTCATTTAGTCTTTTTGTGTGTGTGTGTCAATATCACATGGTTGTACATCCTCTAATTTTCTATGCAGATTCAAATCTAAAAAATTCTAATGGATTTTTTTTTAAAATCAGTTTTTAAGGTACACAGAATTGAGTTTAGTGGCTGTGAGTGTCAATGTTTTTCCAATTTCAATGTAGTTTTCCTTTGTGCATGTAGTTTTCCTTTTTTTATGTGGAAATATTTGTTACCTAGAGCAATGGAGTTTATTAACAAGACTCTGACCGTTAGTTCTTGTATTAAATTGAAGAAATATGAATTGAAAAAAGAGCTTGTCTTTACACTAATTTCTATGTTTTTTTTTATGTTTTTATAAAAAGACTATATATACTTTAATTTTGATTATCTATTGTTCTTATCACCATTTCTGAAATATGAAGTCAATATTTTTTTAGATAATTTATCTGAAAGTGATTCTCTGCAACATGAGCAACTCTTTCCATCTGTGACCGATAAGTATGGGGTCATTTTGTTTCTTTTCAATTCCTTAAATTATGATTGAATTTGTTTTTTTCTTTCAAATTTGAGTTAACTATAATTTATCTAATTAGAGTTTGAAAAATATTTGATGCACAGTTAGCAGGCCGGGCCTTGGTATATCATGTACATGAAAAGGCAATGCATAAAATTAACCTTCTAGTGAGCAATTCAGTAACTTCAATATATGTTCATCGTTTCAACACATGCCTATTACTAAATTATATTACATTCTTTTCTTACTTAAGAGCTTTTTTGGGCTAAAAAAATCCTCATGTTTGTAATACTTGAAAATAAATAACTGTATTAAGTTTTAAGCATCTTAAAAATATTACCATTTATTTTTTAAACATCTTAACAAATTTGCACTAGTATTTTTATTTTATATATTAGACTAAAACACAGAAATAAAGTAGATGGTCATTTTAGCTTTGATGATGAAATGAAAAGATTAGAGATGTTATTAGTTGAAGCTGTAACCACTAATAATAAATGATGAACTGCCATTGAGTATTAAAACTTTTGAAGAAGTGTTTTTTTAAAAATCTTTGTGGTAAAATATCTTAAGCTTTTAGTGTGATAACTTTTTTCAGTATTTCAAGTCCTAGTTGTTATTAAATAGAAAAAATAATTATATATTCAAAGTTACATTTTGAAACTAAAAGTACTCAGTGTGTAATGCCTTTTTCTTTGTCACCATTATGCCATTAATTATGAAATTGTAGAGCTTTAATCTCCATTACCCACTTGGCTAACAACTGGCTGTTGTGATAGTACTTTATTTAATAAAATAACTTTTAAAGTTTTTAATTTTACCTTAATTTTAAATTATGTTATAATTTTTTTTTAAGACTGACTGTCTCATAATTTAAGAAATGTAATAAAACACTTTTTTTTTTATAGGGGCAGTGTTGTTAAACTCAAACTTGACAAGTTGCCTGCTAAAAAGAGTGTAAGTTTCTCTTTTGCAAATTATATCTGATTTTTTTCTAGCTTTCTTGTTACCAAATTAAGCTATTCCTCTAATTTAATCAATAAATAAGGTTTGGTGGTTTAAGTTGTTTTTAATTTAGTTATTGTTGTTTTCTTTTTTAATATTTTTTATTGACAAAATTATATATATTTTTTAATCATATTGTTTTTAAGGAATGTCAAATAAAGCTACAATTGACATTCAATAAAATATCTCTTCATCCAAAGAAAAAAAGGCAAAATAATTTAAGATGGTTGCATTATCATTACATACAAATGTTGTAAATATTTTGTAGGATTCTCGTAAACTTTTTCTATCATTAAATACTTATAGCTAATAACTATTGGTGTAATTTCAACAAAATGATACTAAAGAATTTGGAAATTGACTGAATATTTTATAATTATGCAATATTTTTTATATATTGATGTGTGTGCACAAGTGCTATTTAAAATAATGAATTAAAATTTAAAAATATATGTAAAAAATTATGTGCTGGATGCTACAGTAATTTTTGTTGAATAATATATGGGAGCAAAATCAAAGAAGATTTTATTAATGTGTGTTAACTTGAAAATAAACTTAAAAAGAGTCAAATTTTCAACGACTGATTGAAAAAGATTGTAAGCTTTATGTATCTTTTGAAACGAAAACTTAAATAGATTAAAAATGTATATTTTGACCATGTTGATTACATTAAATCTTCATTTGCTATCTGTTCTAAACTATGATTGATGTACGCATGTGCCGACTTCTTCTTTAAATCATCATTAAGAAGGAATCCCCAGCTGCCACTAAAGGCTTATTAGCCAGTAGCTCTAATGCAACGTTAGTTACAAAAACAAACCAAACAAATATTTGTCTGATTGTTTTTTCATGTTTTATAGCAAAAAAAGATAGTTCCAAATTTTTGTATGAAGTTGTTTTTGCTGTCTAGATGCTAGCTAAACTTTTTCTTTTTAATAATTTTACAAATGTTTTGAATTATATGTTACCAGAAAAATCAAAAGATTTCTTTTAACACTATATTGTTAAATTACAAACGATTTCTTGTAACACCATTATTGTTTCTATAATTGTTGTAAAAAAATTCCTTTTTGATAGTTAATCCGGTCTTAACAATCAATTATTATATTATGTAAACAATATTTCACAATGCTGCATTTTAAAAAAAAAACAGTGCCAATTTGACTAAAGGCTGATTCTGCTGATTTTATTTATTATTATATTTTGTTGATTTCATTCCATTAATTAATGTTTATTATTTATTAATAATTACAGGTCATTGGTGGTTCTGTTCGATCAATTATTAGTTCAAAGGAATGTGGGCATTCCAGTTTGAAAAGAAAATTTTTATTAAATGCACCAGATCATAATGATTTTATTAAACCTATTCGGACTGGAGAACTGAGTAAGCAAACTGAAAAATTTTCAAGCAAGCAAAATAAAAACATTTTCGGTGAAGGCCAAATAAATGTTTCACCAAATTTAAAAATGTTTCATCCTTCGATGCACAAAGCTTGTTCCACCTATGATAATACAGATTATTATCAAAACTCTATTTCACATACACCTTCTGTAAAAAGTTTCCAAAACTGTAAAAAAGAAAATATTTTGCTAATTGATGATAACTCATGCTCCTTACCTAATCATGAAAGAAAAAACTTGATTTGCAAAAAAAAGTTTGGACATTCATCATTAGTGTTTTCAGATTCTGATGCTTCTAGTCAAAATAGTAAAGACAATAATCTTTCAATTCACAATGAAAAACTTGATATCTCCTTATCAAATCATAAAGCTAAAGATTCTAGTGATTTTCATCATGGTTTTAGCAATAGTTTAGCAGCTTTAAAAAAATGTAATTCTATTTTAAGTGAAATAACAAACCTTGATCAAGAAATTGAAAGTATTAAGGCAGAGAAAAGCTGCCATTCGAAATATAAATCAAACAGAAATATCAGTGAGTCAAAGGAGAATTCAGTCATCAGTTTGTGGAACCCAACAAAACAGAAAAGTAATATTTATTTTGATTTTTCTGAGAATGTATCACAAATTAAGAATGGAAATTTTTCTGATCACAAAAATTTTCCCATTGATAAAAAGAAAAAACTTTCACGTCTCTCTCATAAAGCAGCATTTCCTACCAAAGATTTATTCAAAGCTCCTCTTAAGTTGCCTTCATCAAATAATTTTTTGGAGACACTTGATTTTGGACCGTGTAGTAGAACAAGTAGTTCAAAAACTGATCAGTACTCTAGTCCACATACAAAAAGAAAGAGAATAAAGAAGAATGTTTTTGATGGCTCTTTAGCTGAAAGCGTATTGGATACTTCCAGCCTTAGTAAGTGTTATTTAGTTTGTTTAATGTGAACTTAATCTTCTTTTTACATTATATTAACTCTTAGTTATTAGGCCTAATTAGAATGTAAGAAAAATAATTTTGTAATAAGATGTTTAAACAATACCTTAACATAATCTACCCAAAAGTTTATGAGCTGGAAAATTACCAAAGTACTGACATTTTGTTAATTTCCCTTTTAATCCACTGTAGAACTTCACCATTTCTGGTCAATTGTTCTCAAATTTTGAGCAAATTTTTATAGGTTGATTTCAAATTTAAGCTATATATTAAAGATAACATTCTTTACATAGGATTATTTTATTTTATAGTTTTTTCCTTACGAACAATTTTCTGGCAAATTTTTTTTTGGTGAGTTTTGAATCTTTCTTTCTTTTTTTTTAAAGTGATATTTTGGCAAAAATTCATGTGTTTTGAACATGATTACTTTTATTTTTGTTTGTAAACATATAAAGAAAAAACTAAATTGCTTGTAATGTTGGTTCAACTTTGGCTGTACACCCTTCAAGAAGAAAAATTTCATGGAAGAAAAGCAGTACAATAGTTTTGTTGTACATTGTTTTGGAAAAATTATTTTTAATGTTTGTTGAATTTTACTGTATATACACTAGTTCTATAATAAAGTTTTTTTTAAAAATTTTTAATTTATTCCATTGTCTCAAAGTAAAATTTCTGCTTATTTTTTAGCCACTTGAGTGGCGTAACCATCAAAATATGCTGGACATTTTATTTACTAATTTTGCACCAGTTACATTATATTATTTAAAAGTGTGATCTCATTTTCTAGTTACTTTGATTTGAAATTTATTATATTTTTAGATAAGGGGTTAAGTGCTGCTTAAATTAATGGCTCATAAATTCTGAATAAGTTCAAAAATACAGAATAAAATATTTTAGAATTTTTTTTCAGCTTGCAATTCAATATTTAAATAATCACTATTAGTTAACATAACAAAATATAACACTATTAGAACATAACAAAATATGCCTTAATTTATGTTTTAGTTAATGTATTTTTAAACTATTTTTTCTATTTTTACAATAAGTTCCTGATTAACTTCAAACCTATAAAAGCATTTCATTTATCAAACTTTAAACCTATCTTATAAGTATTTTTATCTCTTTCAACGTATCCTATATTATTAGATATTTCATTAGAACCTTCAAATTATATATATATATGTATAATATTTTGTGCAGAAGATTCATATTACCTTGTGCAAGAGATCTGTATTATCTTGTGCCAAAAAATCCATATTTTGTGCAAAAATTTAGAAATTGAGAAACTATTGCATTGAAAACTGAAATAATATTATGTGATTCAAATTTGTAATCTATTGAGTGACTAAACTATTAATGCTTTAAAAAAAATAGATTTCTCCAATAAAATGTACTGTATCTAAAACGGTTAGCTTAAAATTAGATTCATGCCTTTGTTCCTAATTTTTGTCTAAAAGATATTGTTATTAATGGCTCAAACTCTTCATAGCAATCTTAACATTTTATGTATATTCTATATCAATTTATTTTAAAAAGTTATTATTTTTGCATAGTTTATTAATGTTGCATTGCAAATCTAATTGTTATGCATGTTGTTAATGATTAAAACTTTTTTGATTTTTTTTTTCATCATTTGAATTTTAGATCTGGATTCTGATAAAGTCTTTGGAAATAGTATGCAAGTAATAGTCTTACCAGGTGATTCTTGTGAACAGCACAAACTTATTGCTGGTTTTCAATTTCTGAAAGTTAAACCTCTGAAAAATGCTGTTTTGAATGTGAATTAATGTCAGAAAAAAATATTGGATTTGTTGTGTTAATTAAATAAAACTTAAGTTAAAAACTTAAGACATTTAAGTAGACAAAATATTTTATCCATTATAAAAGTATAATGAAAGTAAAGATGTAAAAATTTAAAGATTAGTATCCTAAGGTTTACAATTTGATATATGTTGTTTACAAATATATGTTGAACTGTTTCACTTTAACTTTGATTTTTTTTTTGTGGTTAAGAAAACTTAATTTTCTTAAGATTATTAAAAATTTGAAACTATTAAAACTAGTAATTCACTTGTATAATATTTTCTGAAAATTAAACAATTATACACATTATTACTTTATTTGTTTGCTGAATTTCTATCTCATATTTTTTAAAACACGTTAGAGTACATAAATATTTTTCTATCTTAAGTTTTAATATCTTGCATGTTCAATATATAAATGTAGGTGAGTTTTTTTTCTCTCTTACACTCATATTAAAAATCTCAAAATTGTACAGGAGTTCTAAATTAAAATAAAGAAATGTTACAAAAAAGTATATAAAAAATATATTTAAAACAAATTTAAAAACTAATTATGGAGTGTTTGAAATTCTGCAGAAATGACCAATTGGTACTTTTCAAACCTGAAATGCTTTCACTTAATTCCTAATGTACTGAGTGAAAATGATTATAAAAATATATATTTTTTAGTATAAAACATTAAACCAAATGCAAATTACCTGAAAGAAGTTTATTTACTGTTGTAAAATCTTGGTAGTTAATTTTTGTTATCATTATTTTAATATTTGGAAAAATTTTTCATTGATCGAAACATATTATTCTTTTTTAATTTTGCCACTAAATAACGCACTGTAGGCTAAAGTATCAAATTATTATGTCAAGATGTATCAAATATTTTTATTTTCGCATTTTAGGTGATTCACAATATCGCAGTTTTATGTTGTAACATTAATTTAGTTTAACCATCAGGTTTTTTAAAAATTTAAATCTAGGGTATCGATTGCAATTGCTTTTATGATTCCTCTCTTTAAAATATTAATATTTTTTTAATAAAATTACCACCATCACGATATATTTTTTTAGATTACAAATAATTAATAGAAAGGACACAATATGAAATATGTCTCAAGTACAAAAGTTAGTTTTAAGCTGTTTTTAGTAAAAAACATGTATAATTTAAAGCAACTTTTTAAAGCCATTACTATTTTTCTCTCACTATTAAGTAGAATAGTTGTGACATATTCAAGATAAAAATTCCAGGGGATAACTTAACCTATAATTTTATTATTGCTTTGAAAAAGTTAAAATTTGTTTTAACAAATTTAAGTTGTGTATCGTAAAACCCGAATTTTTTAAAAATTATTTTTATGTTAGTCAATCAAAGCATTTAGTAGAAATTTTTGATGAATTAAAATAGATATTATGCTTTTGGAATATTATCTGTTGTTGCATTGCCTGCTCAGGGAGTATCACTGTAGATATTGTAAACAATGTATAAGATGACTAGAATTCTAACTTAGCAAATTTTTAGCTACACTTTCTTTGTTAAAAAAGCAATCATTAAAGTTAGAAAGAAAAATAGTAATAGTAAGTATGCAATGAAAAAAATTGTCTCAATAAGTTGTTTTATGTTTGTTTAGTTAAAATAAAATTGTTTTTCACAGAGGCTTGGGTCAGAGCATAAAACCTAGCCCAGCCTACATAGTCGTAAAATAGCCTTTCAGATGACTGCAAATATTGTTCATGACATATGAATGAACATTTATATGAAGAACGACCTATTTTTATTATTAGGGCATGCATTTTAAAAAGTAACTATTTTAGCTAGTCAAATCTTTCTGTAAAATAATTTTTTTCTTCTTTTTTTTTTAATATTAAAAAATTTTAGTCTATTCTTCAATCATTTTTTCAATGACCAAATATGAGGGGGTGTATAACCCCAATGCATAAACTGCAACTTAATTTTAGTGGATAAAGGAAATAACTGGGTCAAATACTCCCTAGGAATGCAGCCAATATTTTGAAAACTCTTTTTTTTTTCAATAGTATACTTCAGTAGAATTATACTCATCATCAAATAAATTCTTTGCTCATTTATTATAACTGAAGATTTGTAACTGAAAACTATTTTTTTTTGTAAAAATATTATATTTCATAAAAATTAATGAAAAAATGAGCCATATTAAATTGTACAATGGGCCTTCCAGATACCCTAGTAGTCATTGTGCCTGACTGTAAAACCAGTGGTTGCAGATTCGCTCAAGGCATGGATATTTCTCTGTGTGGTGTGTGAATGTGGCCTACCCTATGAGCGAGTATCTCTGGCAGTGTAGTGAGGGTAATGCTGTTCGCCTCTGTAACAGGTTCACAAGTACCTTCCGGATAATGTTAAATGAATAATACTTGCGGTACCTTTCGAGGCAAAGAGCAAGAGTTGAGTGCTTGCCGTTAAAAAAAAGTAAATTGTACAATGGACAAAATTTATGCTCCGAAAATGAGAAAAAGCTGATTGAAAAACCTTTTCATATCTAGTTAGCTTTCTGGAGAAATAAGAACCCAGGCTGCCAAGACTCATTAAAAGTAACAACGTATATGTACTAGACTGTTTCTGAAGTCGGAAAATAACTTGTATGATATCTTGGTAATCATGAACATTTATTTCTTGCAAAAGCAAGGTAGAAATAAAATGGTTTTTCAGTACCAGTTTTTTCTCTTTCCCAGTTACAAACAGCTTTGGATGGATTTATGGTACCTAAAGGGAAAGAAAAAGGAATGGATACCTTTTAGATGCCTTTCTTGTAAGAAAAGATGTTTATCTGATTTTGTTGACAACGATTTTGGGAAAAGGTACTGAATTTAAGAAGATTTTAGTGAATGTTACATTATGTGAATTTTTTGGAGGCAAAGATGCTTGTTTGAAATTACACCAGTTAGAATTGTGGGAAAAAAGGACTATATATAAACATAAAAAAAAAGATTCTAATAATTTATCACTTAAATTGATAGTGTGGAGAAAAAAAGGAAGAAATTGAGACAAGATAAAATGAAACATAACTTTATTGAGCGCGCTTCTACAATCCTGGAGAGTGGTTTGGTGCGGCAACGGCTGGGTAAACAGTTACCCTAACCTGAGACAAAGGGGAATCAACTGCAGAATGCACAAAGAATATTCTTTTATACTCTGGGATATGTTTGCATAAGTATATCACATTTTGCAAAGAAAACAAATTAATTGTATATGCAACCTCAGAAATCAAACAAGTTTATGCTCTTTTACAAAGTTGTAAAGGGTGGCAAAACTTTCTTATACAAAAGCAAGTGGCAAAACAATTAGCACCAGGACGGTCGGTTCAACCTGCTTCGTTGATCATTTTGGAGCTTTCACCTTACTCGTCTTCTTTAAAACTTTTACAGGTATTCCAACCGTGTTTGGGTTAAAGTCAGAAAAAACATAAGTTTAAATTTGAATAGTAGAATTTTATGAGGCAGTTTTATGAGTAATTGGATGACATTTTTTATTCATGAATTTGGGATTAAAATGTGTCCCCAAAATAAAATCAGTTGATGGTATATCGTCTGATGAAATTAAGTATTAGGGCTAATTTCATGAAACTAACTGAATTTTAGACCTGCTGAACAGAAATGAAGCTCTTGTTACTAATATTTAAAAAATAACAAAGTATATGAAAATATACTATAGCCATTATAATATAAAGCCATTCAAGCAGGTTTAGTTATTTTTCTGTATATAGCTAAAATAATAAATCTTTAAGAAAGAAATTTAAATAGATATTTATGTTCAATTCAGGATATTTAGGTTTAGATATTTAGGCAGTCTTTATAATTTTTCTAATATTAGCTGTTAGACTGGCTTGTACACGGATATTTAGTTTCAGTTAACGGTATATTGTTAATTGATATGATTAATATTTTTTGGAAAATGTGATATAGTTTAATCCCAATTTCATAAATGCCTATTCAGTTGCTTTCAAATGTCAGCCTGTTACCCATAGAATTCTCCATACATTATCTTATTTTGAAAGGTGAATAAAAGGTTTTATTTTTATAATTCATCAGGAACTTTCCTGTCGATTCTAACTAAATCCTACCTGATTATTTTAACTTTTATTTTTGAGTTAATGAAATTAAAAATATATAAATTTTAAATACCTTTAGGTTAACAATATTATTATTAGTAATAAAACTTTTAATAATTTATTTACTATTTTTTTGTATCGGACGGAACTTGCAGCATTACTTATTCATATAATTTATTTTAATAGTTCTAAACTATACTCATATTTCTAGGTAATTAATTTTAGTTATATAGTTTATGAAGGCTTTTGATATCTCCTGAAAAGCAATCTTATTCTTATATAAAGAACAAACCTCTATAGTTACTTTTTTTTTTAAAGACTTCCTTCTAATATCATACTTTACTTTTGTTGCATCTAATCTTTAATTCTTTCTATGTGCAATTACTTCGATACATGAAAGGTTTGAAAAATGCAAGTATATTCATTTTGAAATTCGCTAAATTACAAGTTTATGCTATTCGGAGCCTAAATTATGTGCATCAAGTTAATAATTTTAAATCTAATTAGTAAAAAGCAGATTAAATTATCTATCAAAGATGCATTTTCTTCAAAGCTCCCATTCAGCTCTATAAATATCACAGATATCAAGAAATTAGTAGGATATATAGTAAAGATGTTTTCATATTGAACTAAGTAATTTTGTTTCCTATAAGGTTTTCTTTTACATATTTATCTTTATAGAAATGATAAGATTCAATTATATTTGATAGCAAACAAACTTCTTGTAAATAAAGGCTGTTATTTGCAAATACAATTATTATTTCTTTTATGATCTTTTAGGAATAAATGATTTTAAGAAATACAAATATTTTTTCCTAAGAATTTCTAAAATGTTAATACTTGTATTTTTCAACTAAACTATTTCTGGAAGAACAGTATCTCATTTCGCTCCTTTTTTTCAGCAGCTCCGTTAGCAGTTGTTCCCATTTCAATTTCCAGGATTTTTCGTTAAAATAGAATAGCACTGACAGAGGCAGAAGTTAAGTCTTCAGAAAAAAATGGTCTGAAACCTGCTAGCTTATTTCCTTGGATGGAGCTACTTTTTATTTGGACGCGTAACTGATTCTATTTAAACTAATTTTGGAGACGGAAAGCTTTGAGTAACAACACTCTTGAAAACTGACTCTCCTAGATGCTACTGGTATGATGACCAAGACCCGACATTATACATATGAGCTATTTGGTTTTGTTTTCGTTTTTTCTTTAAAACCTAACCTATTTTTCTTTGTTTCGATCATTTAATTTCATTGTTTTTTTTTTAATAAGCAGTTAGCGTTTATAGTAAGATGGCAGGTTCAACTGAGCCAAGACTGTTCGAGGAAGGGGAACAGTGAACCCTATTCTGGCGAATGATCAATTAAGCTACACCGAAATTTCTAATATTTAGCAATCTATCTTCTACTTATGTATAAGATTAATGATCCGTTTTTAAGTTTAGAGCTAATGCTACTGAACGTTACTATTATATTTGATAATGCGACCAGGGCTTGAAATCTCTTCAATAAGTATTCACTTAAAAACGACTCTAAAATTTTGAGCTGGATATTTAGAGTAACAATGTGCGTCTCTAAAAAAGTATGGATTTAGCGAGTTGGCGAATGGAACTTGCGAAGAAAAGTTCTAGTTCTATCTCCTAATTTTGATTAAAACTGTGTAAATAGAAATTTTGCTGTTTTACAGGCGATTCTATTATAGCTAAATAGATCTAGCGAATTCTAGAAATTTTTCTAAGCAATAAAAGGTTTTTAATCTTTCAAGCCCTGCTCTTTATAAATTCAACTACAGCTTTGATGATTTTTATTTTATCTCTTGAAATGATTATGGTTGTAGTATATGAATTAGGTTTAGTCTAAACCGTCATCGGCAGTACTCTACATTATCTAGCATTCCTTAGGCACTAGGTCTCTTGAAGTCTATCCATAGCCAACCATCTTATAGTTTAACATACTTCCATTAGCAACCATTCAACCACTCTCCTGCTTTAACGAGATTAGAACTAGAATAAGAGCACTTGTGAAAACTTGCCCATGACAAAATGTACGGGCAAGTTTCAGATTCCCGTTGCCATACTGTGGAATAATTTTAAACCTTTGAAAGGAAATTTAACATAGAATTTCTGCGAATTTATAAATTTATGTCATAAATTGATAACAATCACAGTGTGACAACAGGTGGCGTATTATTATTATTTTTTTTACTTTATTTCTACGCCTTTCGTAAGTTAAAGCGAACGCATTGTTTTTTATGTGTTAATATAATATTTTGTATGAGCATAAAAGACAATAAGTTCGTTTTAAAGAGATCCCCTAAAATGCCTTTTTTATTATGACATTTAGGTCTAACGTTAAAGCATTAAGCACATCATCCGGTTATAGTTACATTAAGGTTTCATAATAAATTATGTAATAACTCTATTGAAAAAAAAAGTTTTATTATTGTTAATAATTCATTTTAAGCAAACGAGCTGAATTTGTCTACGGTATAACGCTATCACAGTAAAGCAGACAATTTTTTTAATAATTGATACATTAATGCTCAGCTCTTATTTTTTTTTTAAGCAACATTTTGTATCTTAATATTAAACGTCAAGTCAATGCCTGAAAAATCATAAAAAATACCCTGTGCGGAAAGCTAGAAAATAAATTTATTATTAACCCAACTCTTGATATGTACTTAATAATAAAAATTGAAAGAAATGTTTGCTTGATAGTAATTTCTGTGGAAAAAAAAATCATGTGGACCCATGACGCAATTTTCGTACTGTGACGTATTAAAAGGGTTGATATTGTATAATATGAGGAATCTACTAATTCTGTTAAATTTTACTTTTTGTCTTGAACCGTAACTGTCTTGGAAAAACATTTCATGTCAACAAATTCTGGTGAGCTTATACACTTTTTAGTATTGACCCTAAAAAAGGGACACAAGACATTAATGGGTTAATATTTCATGAAAATAAAGTCTACCTTATTTTAGCCTCTGTCTTGAACCATAACCGGATTTTTAATAAAGTTTTTAAAAATTAGAAAATGTTGTAAAAGATATTAGATTAGACATCGTTAAAGATGTATAAAAAGATTTGAAGGAAATATTGCTTTTGTGAGGTGGATGATTAAAAAGGGTGGTAAAGTATTAATCAGCCAAGTGTGGAAACGCAGCTATTGTTTTCAAAATACAGGACTTAGCTTAGTTTGAAGAAGAAATTTTAGGTGATCTCTCAATTGGTAAAGTATATATATATATATTTATATTTAAATAGTCTATTTAAATAGCTCCTTAATTTGCCTTTTCCAGGCAAAATGAGTTTACTTTGTTTCAGTTCTTGCTTCTTCGACTAGTTTCACTGGAATCTTGAAGTGAAATAAATTCACTGCATCCATTTGTGATTCATTTTTGGAATTGGTTGATTTGTGCTAGTTAAGTTCGACGTCACAGTTTTGTGGAGATATACAGCTCTGTACGAATCACTCACTTGAAGACACTCTTGAGGTTTTAAGGTCCTATGTACAAAAGCACGTCATGAAAGGATGACGACATTTGCGTTTGGTTTTCGTTTATAGCAATATTTTTACGAACATCAATCGATGAAACGATTGCGAAGTACTTGCTTTGCACGTTCGTTTAATGGAATTTTTCATTATAATGGAATTTTCCGATTCAAACTATGTTAATTTCATGTGCTATTTGATTTTAACGATTCTTTTGGAACTCTGGTAAGCTTCGTTTGGTTGTTGACTAACGAAAAGCAAACGCAAATGCTATATGAAATGTTAGGACATGGATCATAACTACTCAGTAGTAACAATAGAAGCCATTTCGCTTTGTATTCCGGCGTTGTTTTTTTCGCGTCTGTAGAAAAAATAAGTTAATGAAATTAAACATGTGAGATGAATGGATATTTGTGATAAAAAGCATCTGCAAATGTCTTTCTGTACACAGTGGAGCCAAGAATTGTCAGAGAGTCCATTGGCACATAGGTCACTGGTTTAATGATAAGGAAAAAGAAGTCATCACTTTGATCAGTTGTGTATATTCAGGAAAGATTTGTTCTCAGATGTGAAACCAGAATTGGCTTCTTTTCTGAAATCTGTGACATCAGTTAAGAAAAATACAACACATCATTTTTAAAGTAAAATAAATGCACCAATCAATGACGTAAAATAAATACATCCTATAAACCATTTTCAAAGTAAAAACACTGAACAATTATCAAATAATATACGTTTTATATTTTTTCAAAATGCAACTATCCGATTTAAAAACAGTTTCCTTAGAACATTAATGCCTCACTACAACTATTGCACTAATGAAAAAAGTGGTAGTACATAGCGAATGCTCCAAAATTCGATCGACAAATTCAGTGGGATGGTAAATAGCATCAAGTGAATAAAAACTTATCATAGAATAACCGCAAACCACATTTGGAGGGTGAAATTCGCATAAATATAGAGCAGACGAAAGGTAGTGGTAAATTAAGGTTTGTCCTACCTAAATTAGGCGCTTGTGTTTAATTGGCTTTAAAGCGTTCGCCGGTTTTTAATCCGTTTGATATTTTTCTATGAGATTACCTTAAACACCCCTGACATTTTCGAGAGTGTCAGGGAATCGTTTTCGCATCGTTGTAGACTGGAATGATGTCTATGAACGTCACTTCTAATAATTCATATAATAATTAAATAAATCTCTTAGTAGTCAGCAATTTTGTAGTTTGTCTAAACCTGCATGGAGTTTTCGGGCTTTTCATCATCTCAAAGTAGTTTTCGACTTTATATTCTATGTTAAGTTTTCATCTTGATGCTTTTTATCCCGCCTTCGAATTTGTTGGTGAAATTTTGGAACACCCTGTTCATGTTTATAGCCAAGAGGATATTTTTTCCTCTCTTACATAGGGCACTGTGATTTGTCTTTAAATTCAAAAAATATTCATATTGTGGAAGACTAAACTATCTTGTTTTTGAAAAAAAGAAAGAAAAAAAAGACTCCAGTAACGGAAGATTTCTTTTTTGAAAAAAAAAAAAAGAACAAATACAAGATGAAACATATTCCTAAGAATTGTATCATTCACATCGTCATAACGATTAGAATAAAATTTCACAAACACTTTAACATATTATTAAAACAACGTTTTTCACACTCTTAGGCTTTCCATCTCGTTTAATTTGATTAAAAATTTTTCATGAAATATAATTTTATCGAAGGTTTCGTTGCCGTAGTTGAACCACAATTTCTTTTATTATTCGGAGACTTATTTTAATTATATGAAAATTTACTAATCAGGTCTTACGCGCAATAATACACTTGCTATTAAAGAGGTAAATAAATAAATTATCGAGCTCCGAATCTTAATGTAACAAAATGTAAACTTGAATGCTCATGATCTAGTTTTGCTACTAGTATAAGGGTACTGCATCTTAAAACTTACCTTACTATGATCTAATTTTATCTTACAATCGTTTTAATCTCATGAATCGACTAAATTTTTTTAAAAATTAATAGAGATCTAAGCTGAACTATATTATTATCCTCCGAAACTTAAATCCTTTATACTGTGGTTCAATTTTAACGGGAACATTGTATTAAAGGTTGTAGCAAATTTGAATCGTATTTTAGTTCAAGGTACTGATGTTATGCTTCAACGTTGAACCAATTTTTAAAGAATATAGCTTATTCCAGTAAAATTTGTCATGGATATTGTATCTATTCCCGCTAAAGTGGTGAAGTCCAGTTATTCTATGGATTATCTAGTTAATGCTGAGATTAACTAAGGATCAAAAAATTGCTTAATCTCTCAGATTACCTAGGTAACTTTCAAACTACCTAGGTAAACTGCACATTACTTACCTTGCACTCATTAAAGTGAAAATAAGATCTTCTCTGGAACAACAGTAAGGTTTCTGAACGCTTAAATTAACATAATGTTACTTATTTGCGCTAGCTAAAACCTCAAGCTACTGTAATCAACACGTTAGTTGATAGAGTCAATCATCAATCCGTTTAAAAACTATAATGCGAAGAGTCAAACGGTTTAAAATATTATTAACATATTTTTTATTTATTTTTCAATATCTAAAGAATCAAGTCAATGCAATCAATCAATCAACTAATCAGTTGATTGTTTGATGAGAAAACAAACTTTTGAACTTAACCCCTTCCTCCTCACTCCCGTGAAAATGACTGGGTGAGGTTTCGCCCTCTATTTCTCGCTCCCGTGAAATTTCTGGGCTGGAGTGTTCACTTGTAACGCGTCAACATGAATAAAACTAATTAATTACTTTTGCCCGGAAAACATTTTATTTCCCATTTTACACACCAGATGGCAGTACCAGGATAATTTTAAGGTAATTGTAGATAGTTATTTTATTTTAAACTAAAAGTCAGCACTAATCAAATACGTGTATTTGGCAAAATAGGCACTTTTATGACCGTGTTCTTGCAAATTTACCGATCGTTAAAGGGTTAAACTACACGGAAATCGTTAATATTACGTAGGTAAATTATGGAGAGCTCATGATTCCGTATTTAGACTCACTACACTAGTTAATCTTCAGATGAGCTCGGTAATATTCATATTAACGGCTTTTGTGCTTAAGAGGACGCCATACCACTGGAGAAACTTTTCGTCGCAAATTCTCTTTCACTTCCTTTACTAATTTAAAAGAAAGAAAAGTGAGTTCGGCCAAACCATAAAGTTTCAAATACTGCAAAGAATTTTTCAAATATCAAAAGGAAAATAAATTATGAGGAAATAACTCAGGATTACGCAAGGGAGAAATTCTCTTCAAATAATTAGTTTGCATTATAGGGTAAACTAACCAGTGAAGGAACACTTAAGCTTCGCTTGCGTTTTAAAAAATCTTATTAATTTCAAAATTCGTAATTTTAGTTAAATGACAATGTCAACATATTTATTACTAATTGCAAATTATGTAAAAAAAAATTGTCGAGAACTTACATAATATAGTTTTAAAGTTTTGGAGGTTCAAATAACAAGTAGTAAGAAGACCCAGTGAAGGAACAGCTTTTACCAGTGAATGAACACCCAGTAAAGGAACACTAAATTTTGGTTATTTTTTAATGCTCTTTTTGAATTTATAAGCCATACAAATATTTAAAAACAAGCCTATTCTTGAAATTATAACATATAAATACTTGGAAAATGTTAACTTTTTTTTTGTAATNAGATTTTTAATGTGAAATCGACGGGAATCGTACAATATCGTACACACAATTTCGATTTTCGCCAATATTGACAATGTCGGTCGATGTAAACTAAAGCTGTTACAATATCCCTGTGCTACTTGGGTATCTCAGTACTTTATTATACTATGATGCTTTAAAAAAAATAATAAAACGTAACTTCAATAACTATATTTTGAATTCTCTTTTTCACAGTGAGAGAAATAAAACTATTACATGCAATTAATACCACTTCAAACATATAAAAGCAAACACTCATCTTATAATTTCTTCAAAGAAACAATGTGTTTCAGAGATAATAACAAATTCAAAATTTTTTCCAGAGAAGTCTATTTGATCAGGTAATCCAAAACATTGCTAGATGACTTCCTATTGTTTGGCAGTAAGCTATTGTTACCAATCAATCGAAAGAAAAACTTTCAAATTCTTATTTTTAATCAATATATGTGAAATGTTCTTTCACTGGGTAGTGTTCCTTCACTGGTTGGTTTACCCTATTTTGAAATTTTTTTTCCCCTGAGGGAAATATTTTTCACCTGAATTCACAATTTTCTTTTTTTTAAATTAATAACAGAGGTGAAAGAGAATTTGCTATAAAAAGTTTCTCCCGTAATATAGCGTCCTCTCAAGCTGTAACATATCTGCTGTCAGTGAAACTACTTAAGAATACGAATAACTCCTTATTTTCAACACCATCCGTGTTCTCTATATAAGTTTTCTTGAAATATATACGTATTATTTTGTCCGTAAAAATGCAAAAAAGATGTAGAAATATTTAAAACGTGTATGAAATACACAACTGTTCAAATTTTAGTAGCCTAACTTTTCCTGTCTGTAAAGTCCATGTGTGGTTTATAAATAAATCATCGAAGAAACTCTTCGCCATTAATATTTTGCAGCTAAAACACGAGAAAAAGAATTCATTTTGGACCATTTTGACACATTTTTGAGTTCTGAAATGGATACGATTTGATTCTCACGGGACCGATTCTTCTATTTATAGCATCAGAAAACAGATGTGGTTGATCGGTACGTTTATCCTTTATGGATGAATTTCTCTGTATTTTAATGTCTTTTTTTTTCGTTGCTCGTTTTTCTGATTGTCAAATACTTGGAATGTATGACTAGCTATCAGTTTTGTTTCCGATTTTGTATTCCGGTGAGCGAAAAATGCCAGGGATAAAACTTCTAGCTAAATCATCTTTTTTCTTCTTTTAGAATTTGCTGATGTATCTTCATACCTTTATTTTTACGAATATAATAAATATCCATGACTATTTGTTGTTGTTAATATTGCACTTCTTTTTATGACTCTGTAATATTAATAATTTTTTTTTCTTCTCAACAACAAAATCGCAATCATTTTCAGATTGTCTGCGAATGCATAAATTAAATTTTCGTCAAAGAAACTCTGCTCTCTGTATGGGGTATAGAAGTATTGCTATTGGGGTAAAAAAATATTTTTCTAAGTGTTCTAATTACATCCATCGATCAGTTTTGAAAAAAAATTAGCTATATGACAAAAGTTCGATGACACTTAAGCTAGCTAAATAGTAAAAATCCTTGGAATAACTATGTATTGTAAATTTTAAACAGCTTTAAATGTAAAGAGTAAGATCAATATAAGCAGTACAAAAGAGTACTTGGAATCAGGAAATTACTCTGGGAAACGAATTTTTTGTAGCATTTATACAAATACTTAACCTTGCATAATTCGGGTGTGGGGATTTTAACACTAGGTTTACGGACATTTCTTAAATACCTATCTCTACGAACACACGTCAATTTGACACATGAACCAATACATCACTAGGTTTACGGACGTTTCTTATATACCTATCTCTACCAACACACGTCAATTTGACACATGAACCAATACATCACTAGGTT